TTGACATGTAAAAGAGTTTGTAAAAAGTATTTGATATGTAAAAGAGTTTGTAAAAGTATTTGATATGTAAAAGAGTTTGTAAAACAGTTTGAAGTAGTTTGTTTGATAACACAGTTTGAAAAGTAAGAAATCCACTTGGTTGGTAGTTATTAATCACATGTGATTGATATAATAACTATAATAGATCAACTTGTATCCCCCCCCCATAAAAGCATTTAAAATCATTTAAAAGGTTGATTAAGGGGTATGAACTCACCTGTAGTGAGTAATTCAAAATGAAAGATCGATATAGGATTGTTGGGTGTCAATTGGAGTCTTGAGCACAAACGAATCCTATTTAACATATAATTTCACATATATGAATATATTTAATGTATATAACCACTAAAGGTGATAGGGACACGCCTTAGGGACATAAAAACACTTAGAATTAAGTGTTACCACCATATATGATTATATATAAGGGGTATTTTGCTATACAACGGAGTGTATGGTCAAAATGCACAATATTTGTGTGTGTGCGGCCAGGGTGTGTGTGCGGCCGCACACTCCCTATGAAATGTGCCAAAACGTATTTTAAGGCTTTAGGACTCATCTAGGAAGGTTTCTTACTTCATGCTTTAGCCTTATATGGAGTTCATTGCCATTTTTGGACCTAAAAAGGGTGTGTGCAGCTACACATGGTGTGTGCGGCCGCACACCCTTTATGAAGATGATAAAATCGTGTTTTTCTAGTATATCATCAAGTGTTCTTAGCATATAACAAGTTATGATAAGTATATACACGTTATAGAGGCTTGAAAGGGTGATTAAGGTCCAAAACTAGTGTGTGTTCTTGGTGTTCTTGACTAAAAATGGATGTTTTCATGGATCAAAGCAAAGGTTTTTGCTAGTTAGGTTCGTGTATCAACAAATCAAAAGGAAGAATTTCTTACTTTTATGAAGATCAAGATGAAGATTTGGATGATACTTGAGAGGATTTCGAGTTCTAGTCTTGGAGAAGTGAAAAAAGTGTTCAAAAATGACAAGTATTGAATATATATGGGAGAGTGTGCGGTTGGGATGGGTGTGTGGCCGCACACTCTTGTGTGTGGTCGTACACACAAGTGTGTGGCCGTACACACAAGTGTGTGGCCGCACACTCCATATGTTGGAGTGTTTGGCCCGATTTTGCTTGATATGCATCTAGTTTTCCCATTTCTAGGCCCCTATCTTGATGGTACTAGGTTTAGAACACTCAAATAGACTCTAAACAGTGCTAAAGGATAGCAAAAACGGGTATGGCCTTCATTGATTTGAATAAGTGTATAAGATAAAAATTTCGGATTGTCACAGAACCTTTTGTTCAAGAAAGAAACTTAATATCCTTGACCCTATCTGTTTTTGCCAAAGATAGGATATGATACAAAATTGCACATAGGATCCTTGACCTTATCTATTACTACCATAGATTGAGATATGAAACCAAACAAAATTATCCCCTACGTACCTTGAATGAATTGATGAAGAACTTGTGTTCTAGACTATAACTTTTGTCAATGATCTATCCTATTAAAAAAATAGGCAATGTGAGACTAAATATTTTCATGTGGAGTCCATGACATCTTCTATTATCACAATAAACTGAGGTATGACTTACAATAAACCCTACCTTTTGTACCAATGAAATTGACAAATAACCATTGTTCTAGACTGAAACTCAAAGTTCCCTCTCCATCCTCTAACAAGCTTCAGTGAATGACGGTTCAATTTCCACTGATGTCCATCCCTTAATGAAGTTGTCTCTTCAAATTTTAACATATGTCACATCGAATAAGGAGATAATCATCTACCTTGGTGTCCAAATTTTATCAACAAATGAGATTATCCTACTTTCTTGGGAACCCTAAGCTATTCGTCTCCTATATCCTCATGAGTGTTTTTACAAGGTCAAATCTCCTCACCAAAACATCTCAAAATTATTCTCAAGAACTTTCTCTCTCTCTCTCTCTCTCTCTCTCTTTCTCTCTCTCTCTCTCTCTAATCACCATGGCCGCTGTCTTCACTCTTCTTCATGAGTTTGATTTAGGGCATGCCTTCAATGCCCATACATTGCCTGTAACAATCAAGAACTCCAGTCAAGTTGCAATCTTTGATGTTCTTCTCAAAGTTGTTGGAACGAAGTTCGAAGATTTTACTCAATTTCTTCAATCAATTCCTCTCACTACTAATCTCACACATGAATCCATTAGAATAAAGGCTAGATAATTGTGCGAATTTTGGTATATTGTTGAATATGATGAAGATGATAATTCTATCACCGGAAACATCACTAAAGATAGGACTCATGTGACTATGAACGTTGATCACTTCAGAATTGCTCTTCATCTCCATGTTCTCAATAAGTTCTTCCCTCTTTAATAAAATCAAGTTATGTGAAACATTCTTCTAGCCATTGGGCATGACTTTAACAAACAGGGACCTCGCTCAAATATGATAAAAAGGGCTTGCATATCATTCCAATGGAAATATATTCATGTGATCAATACGTGTTTATCCCACAAAAACCAGTAGATGGGATCACTTAAACCTATAAGAGATAAATATTCGGTTTATTATGTTTCATGGTCACAACATGGATTTTGCACAAATCTTCTTTGATCAATTTGTGTCACTAATACAAAAGGTTCCTTCTCGTCAGTCAAATGTTCCCTTTCCAAGATTTTTATCCTTAGCTAGGTATCAAGGCAAAAATCTTATCCCCGATTAAATAGGGGTCCACTAAATGATATACCATGATGAATATCATCATCAAAACGATAAACCGAGGATCATAACATTTCAAAAATGTAGTTTTCAAATTGTTATGATTTAAAAATGACATGAAATGAATATCTTATGATCGAAATGTTAAAATCAATCAAAACAATGATCAAATTTGAATGGTTTAGGATCCATATATTTTATGATCCAGACATGTTGCGTTAAACAAATAAATGATATGATCTAGCTTCCACGGTTTTTATGATACATACATGTTATGATCCAAAACATAATGCTCCAAATACATATGTTCATAATCGAATAAGCTGCAACAATATTCCATATTTATGGTGTATTGGCATAGTTAGCTAGTCTAGTAATCTTATAGCTTATCTAGTGAGATATTCTCTTTTACGTAATGGACATGCATAATTGTTTCTTTAGGAGGTTGGTCTTTATCTAGTTAGACATTTTTTTTACATCTACTTTTCTTTTTGATGATCCTCTTTCTTCTAGACACACCCATAAATCCATAACTCTCTCATCTTTTCTCCTAGACATCTTTTAGATTTACAAATTTTATATGCAGACTAAAAAGAAACTGTAAATGAAGGGTATGAAATCATTCACTTACATTTCACATAGACATAAATACAATCAACTTGTGTACGTAAAACACAACAAAATTCTAGAAAACATTTCGAACACCTTATTGTATTTAACTTCTTAAAGACATTTTTGATAACATTGCCATATGATTATGATAGAGAGAAATTACAAGCTTCTTAATGAAAAGCATAAAGGCTATAAAGAATAAAGCGGAGAATAAATACTAACAAGACAAAACCCTAATGGGCTAAAAACTAAAGGGTCCATAAACATGTGGGCTAATAATATATAGGCTAACATCCCCCCTCAAACTCACAATGTCATAACAATAAACATTGAGAGATTGTCACACAAGAACCGAAACCGAAAAGCCAATAGAGCCTTCGTAAAAATATATGCAAGCCAATAGTGATGTGGTTCCTAGCTGTAACTGATGACGTGTAAAGTGACAATCAATCTCAATGTGCTTCGTCCACTCATGGAAAACAAATTTTTTTGCAATTTGTATCGTCATATGATTACAAGAGAGAAATTACAAGGTTCTTAATGAAAAGCATAAGGGCTACAAATAATAAAACGAAGAATAAATACTAGCAAGACAAAACTCTAATGGGCTAAAGACTAAAGGGCCTATAGACATGTAGGCTAGCAATTTTAACAAACACATTGATTGCTTCATCAAATTGGGATTTTAGAGAGTCATATAATCCAAAATATCATGTTCTTGATATCCATTAGCATTCACTAATGAGCTAAAGACTAAAGACTCATAAACATGTGAGACTCATAAACATGTGAGATAATAATATATAGGCTAACAATTTTAACAAACACATTGATTGTTTCATCAAATTGGGATTTTAGAGACATATAATTCAAAATATAATTCAAAATATTGTCCATTAGCATTCACTAGCATTGAATTTCGGTATGAATCAACTTTCCTACCAAAACGTTAAAAAAAAGGTTTCATGCATGAATTTTATTACTTAAAGCTTTTTTTTTTAATAAAATTTCAATTTTTAATCTAATTCTAAAGAAAAGAGTTGTAGATGAACATTTTTTTTTCTAAATCATGTTGATTCATATTGGGTTTGAATAGTAATGAAACTAACTTTAAATCAATTTATCAAAAAAAAAAAAAAAAAAAAAAAAAAAAAAAAAACTTGAATTTACCACTATATGAAGACTGACTATAAAAAAAAATAGAGGAAGATGAACAATAAAATATCGTTTTTGTTTTCGAATATAACCTGATTTGCGTGATTTGAAACGAATATTGTAGCTTTCAATAGAAACGATCACGATTATTGTCTTCGTTGCTCGAATGTCTGCCTTCTCATCCCAATCTTCTTTAAGTATAACAAAATTCATTTTTTGTTTTAGCCAAACCCAATTTTTTGCATCCCAAAACATTTATTTGTTTGCAGCCCAGCCATTCATAAACATGATTGAACGAAATTATCCTCATACTCTTCACCATTTTTCGAACTTTGACCAGATCCAATATTATAATTACATTTATAATTTCGTGACCATAGTAAATATTTTTTACTATAACTCATTCCCTCCACAAACATTCCTTTTATGATAGTTGCATATAATTGACATGCAAGCTTGATATATTTTTTGTATTATTATATGATAAAGTCGTCGCTTTTTATCACAAATATATTATCGTACACTTTTTTAGTGAAGGGAACAGCTTTCAAGGAAAAAGGTGGTACGCTCTTTGTAGGGGAAGAGTGAGTGAAAGAACAATGGTAGTGTTGATGAGTCATCGTCGTGTCCATCCTCTGTCAGATTCCCTTCTCCTTTTCCATTAAATCACCGTCAAAAAAATCCCGATTCCTAATCCTTTTCAAAAGTGAATCGATTCCCAGATATTCTAATCATTCAATTTCCCAATGTTAAAGTCCTCCTCTCAGTTCATCCTCTGGATTTCAACTACTTTTGTTGACAGCAAATCCACCTTTTTCTCCCAATTTTTAATCTGGATTATCACATTCTGTTTTTTCCTCAAAAACCCAACTCGTTTTGCCTCTAAATTAGGGTTCTTCGTGTTTCTCTGTTAACATTTCGTGGTTTAAGTAGAAGTAAAAGAACATAATTCAGATTTTCTCCTCTTTGTTCTTCATTGCATATCGTTTCTGGGTTTTCGTTTCACTAATGCTGGAGTGAAATCGTTGATTTGAAAAATGGGGATTTCGAATTCAAAAGCAGAGACATGTGAAGCTTTGCGATTATGCAAAGAGAGAAAGAAGTTCATCAAACAAGCAATTGATTCAAGGTACAATTTAGCAGCAGCACATGTTGTTTATGTTGAATCCCTTCAAAACATAGGAATTGCCCTTCGTAAATTTGCAGAAAGAGAAGTAATCTTAGACTCATCTTCAATCACATATGCCGAGAAACCCCCACCCCCACCGCCATCTCCACCACAGATTGACCACAATGGTGCCACCGGTGGGGGTGGCGACCAATCGGATTCTCCATCTCCATCTCCGCTGCCAGATGTGAGCTTAAATTACATGAAATCAAGTGGGGCTGGTGTTGTAACTGTTAATGTAAACCCATCGAAGAGTAGTAATTGTAATAAGATTTATGTAGACGATGTTGAAAATCCGTCATTCACAATGTCGCCACCGCAGCCGCCGCCTCCTCCTCCTCGTTTTTCTTGGGACTATTTTGATCCAACAGAGGGAAGCTTTAGATTTATGAGTCAGGAACGATTTCAAGTTAACTCCGTTGATACAAATGTCCATGATCAGTTCCCTGATCAAGATGCCGATTTGGGAGAATTCAATACGCCTCCTGAATCAGTGAAAAAGGATCAAAATCCGCATTTTGATGATAACAATTTGGTTGCTAATGAAGCAAACGGAGTCGCTGAAAATGAATGTGATTTGAACGATGGTTGTTTGAGTGAGGAAGAAACAGAGGATACTTCAGAGCTCGTTGTTCATGGAAGTAAAGATTTTGTTTTAGGCATCAAAGAGATCGAGAATCACTTCATTAGAGCATCGAAAGCAGGAAATGAAGTTTCAAGAATGCTCGAGGCAAATAAGATTCAATTTAGCTATTCAGACGCCAAAGGTATTTTCATTATAGGTTTTAAATTTTTGTTTTTTCATTCAAATCCATATGCTAATTAATTATCAAAATATGATTATTTATTTTAATTCTTTAAGGGTGCGTTTACCCTTTTTATTTTATTTTATATATAATTTTATATATCATTTAAAATGAATGGTGTAATTCAGGTAACTCAACTTCAACAGGATCTTCTTTGGCACTCCTAACTTGTTTTAGAGGCGAAACCTCACTCGTGTTGCATGGTATGTAATTTTCATTTTAAGAAATTGTACTTTGAAATTTCTACCTAAAAGTAGCATGCTATAATAAACAAAATCATGTGTGTATTTTTGTATGTAGAACCTCAACAAACAGCAAAAGTAATTACATGGAAGCGATCAATGTCTTCACGTTCATCATCATCATTGCATCCTCCAAGCACACCAACAAAAAATGATAACGAAAATAATTTCATGGAAGAGTTTTGCATGATTGCAGGAAGCCATTCTTCAACTCTTGAAAGATTGTATGCTTGGGAAAGAAAGCTTTATGATGAAGTGAAGGTACCCCAAAAATCTTTTTCCTATTACGACTTTATACTTTGAAAAATCTACCTAATTATGACATTGAATATTGCTTTGTGCTTTTCGATGACATTGATATAATTGGGTAGATTTGTCAATGTACAATGTTGTAATATGAAGAAATGATAGATAAGATGCTATAATCAACAAATCAATGAAAATATGTTGCTATTTCTTACATTTATCACTTCAAAGTTGATGAAAATTCTTTTGTTTTGGGATTTTTTAGGCAAGTGAATCTATTAGGAAGGAGTATGACCGAAAGTGTGATCAACTTAGACATCAATTCGCGAAGGATCTTAAACCTCATGTGATTGATAAAACTCGAGCTATGACTAAAGATTTGCATTCGCGTATTTGGGTTGCATTACATACGGTTGATTCTATATCAAAACGGATTGAGAAAATAAGAGACGAAGAGTTACAACCGCAACTTGTGGAACTAATTCAAGGGTAAAGCATTAAATTTTAGTTTTTTTTTTTTCTTAAATAAACATTGTGAATTTATTGTACTTTACGAAAAATATTAACAACTGAAATACTGTAAATATTTAATAAATGATAAGCAAATATAATAGTAAACTTTAACATTGTAAACAAGTAAAACAAAATGAAATGCTAAATATTTAAAAAAAAAAAAAACTACATTTATTATAAGAATAAATTGAATACTTCAAATTTTAAATTATGAATCATAAAACATAAAAAAATGGATTACTTAAATTAGAAAATTTTAAATATTTACAAAACATTCATCTTTTAAAGTAATTCCTAGAAAGTTACAAACAGAATACTAACGAATTATAAAGAACAACCGAACTTACAATAATTTTAAGAATTGTAAAAATATTATAAAGAAATGGAATTCTTAAAATAATATTTATAAAAAAGTACAATAAATGTGTCGTTTATATCAATTACTAACAAACCAAGCACTTAAATAACTATATAAAACAAACGAGATTACAATAATCATAAAAGGTACAAAGAACTATAAAAATATTATACACAAATGGAATACTTCAATACTTTAATAGTAAATTATAAACAACCTGAATACTTAAACTAAAAATCGTAAAAATTGCAAAAATATTATTTAACATTTAGAAATTTACAAAGGTAGGTATTGTAAGTTGTAACATATAGCAATTCAAAACTTTCATGGAGTATAATTAGTGATTAAACTTTGCAGATTAATCAAAATGTGGAAATCAATGCTCGAATGCCACCACGCCCAACACAAAACAATCTCATCTTCTCACCATTTCACCATTTCAAGAACACAAATTCACCAAAACGAATCCAAGAACCAGATTCTAATCGAGCTACAACACGAGATCGAATGCTTTGCATTAAGTTTCACAGATTTAATAAAATGCTACACTTCATACATAAACTCAATCAACAATTGGCTCCAAAACTGCATCACCCAACCAAAAGAACGAGCCAAGAGCCGAAGAGTCTTCTCACCCCGACGAGCCGTGGCTCCACCGATTTTTGTAATCTGTCGCGATTGGTTAGCCGGGGTTCGAGCCCTACCGGCTCAGAAGCTTAGTGATGCCATTAAAGACTTGGTGTCTCATGTTCATCGAGTTTCTATGGAAGAATTTGAGAAGAAAGAGATGGATGTTGAGAATGGTGAGGTTATGGGGTTGGATTTGAGCAAGATTCATGTGGGTTTGACTAAGGTTCTTGATCGTTTGACTAAATTCTCTGAAGAATCTTTGAAGATGTATGAAGAGATTAAAGAGAATAGTGAGACTGCTGGAAGTGTTTATTTGAATTATCGGCCACCGATGAGGGCTTTTAGTGTATGATGAATGTTTTTTTGATCGTTTTGTTATGATGCGAAGTGTTTCGTGAAGGAAGAAGGGCATAAGGTGTTTATCCTTGCATATTATTAAATATTAGAAATAGTAATGTATTTTTATGTATTTGTGTATAATAGTATCCTATTTAATTTTATTTATTGTTTTATCTGTTGGAGTAGTGTGCATAATTTATTTTTGATTGGCTATGTTTAACACTCCACATCTGCGATAACTAATTTTTTTTTCAGTTTCTTTAGGTTATAACCTCACAAATTAAAAAGTAATTTTTTTAAAGGTTATTCAAACTAATGTTTCGAGCTACAAGTTTATTGATTTTTTTTAAAAATTCTCTTAAATATATCATTTAACTTAATCATATATTATATCATTTTGTATTATATCATTTTGTATATTTGAGCTACTTTAGTTTTATCAAAAAATATTTTTATTGTATGGTGTCAAACATAGTTTTTGTATTTGGAAAATCTATGATTACAACTTTATAAATTTTGTTTATGAAAATGGATTTGTTTTTAATAAACAGTTGTAAAATTTTACGTTTAGAGGAGAGTTATGAGTGCGATCTTCTGACCACCCCAACATCAATATCCTCTAGATTCTGTTGACAGCAACATGGAGGAATGACTTTACGAAAAAAAAACATCATTACATTATTCTGTTGTTTGGATTCTCATACAATAGTATTATATGGATTATGGAATAAGATTCGTCGTTATTATATTCTAATAAAAACATAGTCTTTTTAATATAAAATCTCCATAGGAAATAAAACCGATTGTTTTATTCAGGAATCAGGATAGATATAATTATTGTGAGGAATAGATGTATGATCAATGATGTATCAATCTAACGTAAGTTTTTATTATAAAATTAGTGTTTTTATTTTTATATAAAACTCGATTCGATTTAATGTTTTGTTAGTTCATTAATAATTCAATCAACCTAATTTTTATTAAACAAATTTAATTAGTAATTATTTTAAACTTTATCTAAATATATATATTAGTTATAATTTTTTTTCATTTTATAAAAATCATAAACAATTTATTTTGTTTTAAATAAATATTTTTTACATTTGTTATTAAATATACATAATTTATATAACTTAACTGGAGTCAAGAAAAAAAAATTAAGTTTTAGTACAGTTTATTTTTTATAAAATTAAATTAGATTACAAAATAATATTGGACCATTTTTGCTTGTCATCCTCATATCGTGGTACAAAGTTTTTGAGAGATTTTTAAAAATTTTAGCTTTTAAAAAAAATCAACAAAAAAACCTTCATTCGGCACTTGAAGGATTTAGTTTTTCTGGAGTTCTGTTTATGTAGTTTTTCCAGAGTTCTGTTTATGTAATTTTACATATTTATAAGCTAACGGTTACTTTAGCCGAACATTTCTACACAAATAAAAGCTACAAATTTAACTACCATATTACAATTTTCATTTTCTATCTATCAGCTAATTTTGTCAAACACTCTTGGAGCTAATTTTGTCAAACACTCTTTGGTAATCCATTATTATATGTTATCTTTATTTCAATTTAATATTATTATGTTCGTGTATTTGCTTTTTGTTTCACAGGGTTTAATATTTCAGTATTATCAAATTTTTGAGGTAAATGAACTTGCAAAAACTCATACAAACTCATTCTCTCAGGCTATACGACATTGGTCTAGTGTAAGCCTCCGAAAGATTGAGTTGGCAAACGCGTAAATACTGCTCCTAAGGGTTGTAAGTTGGTTGTGGCGTTGATCTACTTACGCTCGGTGACAAGGGAGAGAGTAGGTCTTTTTGACCTTTTTTTACTATTGCCATTAAAATAAAAAATTTTAAATTTTAAAAACTTAAAAAAAAAAAAAAAAAAAACTATCTAATATCTACCTATAAATATCACATTATTTCATACACCGCAACGCATTACAATAATCAATTATTTGTCTTTTTTAAACACGCTATTTCTCATTCACCAAACTTCCAAAAATTGATCAAATCTCAAACATCCCCAAATGCCTCCACACACCCCAACCACATCAACTTCACCTATCAGCCCCATACGCATTCAACACTAGGGATGTAAATCAGTCCTAAACCGGACCGAAACCGAAAGAATTGAAAACTGATTAAGGAGTAAACGGGGAACCGAGAACCGAACCGAATACCACTAACTGGTTCCCAACCGTTTCCGATTTTGGTTCAGTTCTACCATGAAATGTGTTATCTAAGAAGGCGTTTGGTCCTGGAACCGGATTGAATCAGACCGGAATTGAAAGAACCAAAATTCGAAAATGATGGATTAGGGGAACCTGGAACCGGATCGAATACCATTATTTAGTTCCAACCGATTTCGGTTCCAATTTGATTCCGGTTTCGGTTTGGTTTTTTAGTTAAAAATCTCATCCCAGGTCAACACAACTCCTCGCCAGACACCCAATTTTCGAATCACCAACTGAAGGGTTAATGAAGATGCTAGTTCCAACAAACTCACATATTCCACAACCACCCTTTTTCCAACAACTATTCTTACAAAACTACTTCCAACAACCAAACACCGAATTAATTCCAACAATTTCAACAACCTAAAACCCAACCTTCCCAATAACCACCCTCCCAACCCCAATCTCCCTACAATAATGATATCGAAAGGGTGTCGGAAACTCAACCAAAATCATCAAGAAGGAAAACCAAAGAAAAAATAAAAAGGCAAAAATATTGGGACGAAGATGAGGAAGTAGCGCTTGCAAAAACTTGGATTTCAATATCTTTAGATGGGATAACGGGCAATGCCTAAACCAGGACGACATTTTGGAACCACGTTCTAGCACAATTCCACTCGCAAATGGGAAAAGGTGAATATAGGACTTACGATGGTGTCAACGACAAATGGCGCGAGCTAAGATCTACTTGTACAAATTTTAATGGAATCTACCTCAACCTCAAAAACATGAGTCGAAGTGGGTGTAACGATTTCAACATTTTAAACACTGCTCTTAAAGAATACAAAACCACCATGTTGGTAGACCCTTTTCCATCAAAAAGTGTCGTGTATTATGCGAGATGGTCCAAAGTGGGTCCTTGATCCGAGCTCGCTTTGTCACTCAGAATCCACATACTCTAACAAACGAGCGAGAATTTTGAAGTTAGGGTTTTGGATTTGACCTTAATGATGATGACGACGAGGGGCCACATGAAGTCATCATTCGATGTAGTATGGGAAGGGGCAAATCGAAAATAGTGGCATCATCATCGACAAAGGACAAAGGAAAAAGTGTCGGTGCAATAGATGTCGTGCAAGTGCTTTCGTAAAAGCTTGACGATCATCTTATTTTTCTTCAAAAAAAAAAAGTTAGATTTATAGAACTTCAACTCGAGAGAAGAAACAAATGTTTAACTACTTAACAACTCGATTTTTTAATAAGCTCCAAGTCAGATTTAAAGACAAATATAAGGATTATAATTTTTAAGTTTTAATGTAATTTTTAATTTTAGCCTAATATATATTTTTTATTTTTTAGGTTTATAATGTAATTTTGTTCTATGTTTTAGTAATGTAATTTTATTTAGTTTAATGAAAATTTTATTTTGTTTTAGAAAAGACTGTGTTTTCTTTTAAAAATTATATATTTAAACTAAATAAAAACTAAAAATATATAGATGATACGGAGTAGTGGGTATTTTATAGTGTAACGCCCAATTCCTGGTATGTATTTTAAATCAATTTATTCACTTTTGTACAGGAACTCGACGAGTTGGAGGCCCCAAACTTGTCGAGTAGGAATGGAGTATGGACGCGGGATTTAAAGTCTACTCGACGAGTTGAGGGACTCAACTCGACGAGTAGGGCTGACGGAATGAAACTCTAATTCTCAGGGTTTAGCACCCTATTTAAACACCTTAACCTCCAAAGGCTGGCCTCATTTACATCCTCCATCGTCCCAAACCCTAGCCGCGAAACCCTAATCCACTTTTGAGAGTTTTGAGCTATTTTGGTGCATTCTTTGAGGCTTTGAAGAAGAGAACACTTGAAGAAGGAGCAAGGAAGTGTTAGAGAAGAGTAGGTCCAAAAGTCTAGCTTCATTTCTGGTTCATCAAAGGTATAAAGTTGCTATCTTGTCTACTATATGCTTAGATCTAGTTTTAGGGCATTTTCCTCCATATCTTGGTCAAAGAATGATAGCTTTTGGGACTTGGACATCCCAAGTGAATATCATTTCAGATCTAGGATCTAGAAGGGCTTTCATGGCATAAAGGTGCAAACTTTATGGCCATTGAAGCCCCATGCAAGCATTAGAGTATCATTTTGACCTTTTTAAGCTCCAAAAGGCCATCCATGGAGTAAAAGTCAGAGACTTTACGTGTTCATTTAGTCTCTAAGGCCCAGATCTCTGTTTGTACACCCTATCTTGTGGTATTGATGGCTTTTGGATCAAGATCTAGACCTTTTAGAGTTAGGGTTTGAGATATACATATTAAGGAAGGGTATTAACGAGTAAAGTTGGAAACTTTACCGTTATAAGGACATTTCCAGCCTATGTATGAAGTTTGAACCTTAGATCTGAAGATTAGTGACTTAATCCATTAAGAAAGCTTATCAGACTGAAGAACTCGACGAGTTGGGTCGAAGTACCCCAATCCTGGAAAAGGAAAGACTCGACGAGTTCAGGACGGACTCGACGTGTTAGGTTGGAAAGTCTCGATTCTATGGTGAGATAAACTCGGCGAGTTTATGAGAAACTTGACGAGTTGGGTCACGATTTCAGGGTTTATGATTTATGGAACTCGACAAGTTGATGGACCAACTCGGCGAGTTGAGTCAACCCAGAAGGTTGACTTTGACCAAAATGTTGACCTTGACTTGGACTTTGACCAAAGTTGACCCTAAAGGGGTTATGAGTATGAAAAGGGTAATTAAATGAAATGTTTATGTGTAGGAGTCTGAGAGGGGTTGCTTTCAGAGCAGGAGTCTTTGCAGCTATTCCCAGTTATCGAGGTGAGTTACCTTCGAGTAGGAGTGAGTCAAAGGCACCAATGTCGGCCCACTAGTATTGATTATAGTTGAGAT